CATAACGATGACTACTCAATCGGTTCCAAGTATTTTTCACCTGGTTCAAGTACGGAAGTTGTTTCAGTCTAAATATCTCCTGAAAGTTATTGATCCTGGGGTACCAGTTATTCTCACTACCGATGCACCAAACTGCGGATAGAAGCATCACTCGCCCATGAATTTCTCGGTGGTATACTACATGTCCACAACTCAAACCAATTAGGGTAAAATTGAGAAAGAATCCTTGATTATCGTTTATACCATGAAGAAATAATCCCATAATATACTTGTGACAAACGACAAAAGCCCGCTAGTGATTTTCCTCTATGAAAGTATAATTCCAGTCTACACGGTCAACCGGCCTCAATACCTGCTAATACATTTCCGCAATACACGTTCGACCACCGATACAGTGATATGGAAGTGATTTCTCAGGCCGACGCGCTTTTCCCACAGTCATCATGGGCCCAGGGGTGCAGTCTTATCGGAAACATGATCCAGCCCATTCTCAGCTTTGCAATGATTCCTGAGACTCGATCAGAGTAAACAGTGTGTAATGGATTATCAACAGAACAGTCTAAAACAACCCCGTCTACCGGAACATCTCCGTTTGTTTTGACAACAAATTACAATGAACACGGTAGATGAGCGTTGCTCGCCTTCCAGAAGATTACCGGCCGAGGAACAATTCCGGCCCGGTCTCATTCAGGACACGCACGTTCGAATCAATGGATTTTCCCCGCTCGCCGCTCTGAGCATCACGGAGGCAATTGTGTTGGACAATACCACTCAGTTCGCGTCACGTGATTTGGTGTGGTGGATGTGACCCTCAGTCGACAAGTAAGCTGAACGATTCGCAGATGTGTTCGAACGCCCTCTGACAAAAGCAGTGAGAATGTGGACGTCGGATGCGTTCCCCCTGAACTCTCTATCTACGTTCAGCCCATTGTTTTTCCGGATGGTCACTGCCTTACTGACGCTCCGATCAACATACAGCTGAGACTGACACGCGATAGCATGCCACTGTCACGTAGACGTTTCCGACAAATATTGCCACAAACGGACGTTTCAGTCTGATGGCCGCGTTCTAGCCAGAAATTACAGACCTGATCGTAGTAAATAGATCGTTGAAGCCGTCTTGAAAACATTGCACAATGCACTTAAACGCGGTTGACACCTCAATCAGTTGAGACCCACACACTTTTCTACTGAGGCCAACGAGAAATATCCCCTGGCCTCGGGCTACATTCTTAATCGGTCACCATTCAGGGCTACCCTGCCTTCGATGCATACATGAAACAAGGTTACACCTAAGACCACTCTCTTCCAGGTTTAGAAAGCTGATCAGCTCGTTCAAAGTTCACTCAAGACGTCATTTTTATGAAAGGGCAGATGTCCGAGCATAGAGAAATATCAAGAAACTGGAGCAGTGACCCGAATTTGCCTTGAATGAGCCTCCGCCAGAACTGTGTGAGCCTCCGATCCAGAAGCATTGTCTTCATTGGACAGCTAACCAGAAGCTATCGATCTCTTTCCCGGATGTGTCACGTCAGCAACATTTGTAATCACCTAACAAGGTGGTCACAGAGTTCACCCGAGATTCCGCTGTTTATTGTGTTCCATGGCCACATGACACATATGGATCGTCTTATGCCTTGATAACAGTGGTATCTCACGCACCGAGACTGACCGGAATTTATTCACATGACTGTGATTCGGAGCTTCGATTCGAGGCACATCTGCGCAAGAGGATGATGACCTAACTCGGATCGAACCATAGCCACTAGGCTTGGTCGTCTCTAAGGCGAGTTCTACTCGGTTAAGGACATCACTGGATCTACCCAAAAGATTTTATCCCCTCGCTATTTGTCTACTCGGATGTCTGGTCCGTCGCTTGTGTCCTATCATCGCGCTGATGGCCAACATTCCCTAATTAAATCGGCAGAGTTGAGCCGAATGATCAGTTGGGACTGAATGCCTGAATGTGATGAGGCATACTGCTATCGGCGGATGAAGCACCCCGTGTCAGCAAGAGGCTGACTGAAATTCACGTGACAAAACGTAAACTCGGCTTTCTTCGTTCTTGGACGAACGGAAAAGTTCGGGAACGTATTGGAGGGACGACGATAACCCGCTCAACGCACAGTAGCTGTGTATGTTGATTCAGTGAGAGTGGTCTCTCACATCCACTACGATGTATGTGCACTCTTAATGACTCTCCCGACACACGGTATGATGAGTGCAGTTTCATCGAATCCGACTTCAACCCGTGTCACCAACTGTCAAATCGTCGACGACGTCAACCTTGAGATTGTTGGTCTGAAACAATGCGAGATCCATCAACGCCGTGAACAGCAGAGGTACAACGATAAGAGAAGGTGCCCACAGAACACCAATTTCGAGTCGTGCGAAAATGGCAGCCTTATGATTTGGTTGCAATGAACTCATGCCAACAAAAAGTCGATCCATCCGATTCCGGATGAGGCCAGAATCCAGCAGGTCAACCTTTATCCGGCAATTATTGTGGTCAAAGGCTAACCGAGAGAGAGATAAAGAGAGGGAAAATAATCGGGAGATCTGCGAGGAATAAGTTGCCGTTTCGGGACGCGAAATTCTTGAGAGCGGAATTAATAGAAAATTCAATACAATCAAGTTAGCATCGTTCGTTTGCTTTATGCTTCATTTCATGCAGCGTAACTTGAACGGCGAACAGAAAGGCACATTCAGTAAAATAAGGAGGAAGCATCTGAGGATAAGCACCACGCAAAAAAGAGTGCTTTAAAATGCACGCAATAGGAGCAATTCGAAAGTGTTTCATTTCTTCGGTGCTGCTAGCGCGAAACCCAGGTCCTCATACTCCATGTCGTACACGGTGTAGTACTTGTTCAGAAACGGTCGACCAAGAAGTATATGAGGGAAGTTTCCTTCCGGTGCTTCAGTAAACACACTCTGACACGTCCATTTTCCGTTCTTTTCGATCTGACGAAATGGGAATGAGGTTGACGAAAGCATGTGTCATTGAAATTAGTCTACAGTTCATTACTGTGTTCATTTGATCGACATTGTTTTATTGCATATCTATTATCTGATGAAATCAGCTGCAAAGTAGTGGTTTACACCTTGCAAACTCATGCACGATTGCACCAGTGACCAGTCTAAACTGGCCACTGTATGGTGGGAATATGGCACCGAGAACATGTTCACCTGTTCAGACGCGAAAAATCAGATGCGTAGTGAGTTGAAGGCAACACGCTCGCGTCGCATGTCGGATGTGCGCAGCTCAAATCCAGACAAGACCAAGACTGGGCACTGATAATGAGCTTTACCAAGTGAAGAACTCGAGTCCGTTCCTCTCTCGTCTGGTCCGAATGGTTGCAATCAATGCTGAAGTTGTTAACACCCGAAAAGTGCATGTGTTTTCAAGAAAGCTGTCAAAGAAGGGAGATATGCAAACGACCACTCACGTACCGATCTAATGTAGTACCTCGGCTCCATAGATAACGTGAACTCGCCAACCTCAAAGTGAACGATCGGTTTCTTGGGAATGTTTGAACAATCGACCAAGTAGAATCTGCCGTCGAACCCAATCGGTTGAAGTACGTGGTTGATCTTACTGAGTACGCTTTTTGGAACCCAGATTTTCGTGGCGCCGCTATCCACAGCCACGAGATAGGACGACGCCTCGCTCTCTCCGTCATCAATGCGAACTCTGCAAAGAAACGAATATCGTCTCAGCACAAGATACGATGGTCCTACAACCACGAATATTATCAGGTCAACGATCTCATTGGAAAACGGATGACACACTAGTCCATAACTCTCACCGATTAAGTGATCAACTAGTATCAAGGTAACTGCGTAAGCTTGTGATTACCGGAATAACTCTGCTTATAAAATCAACCCATTCAACTGTCAGAGGGGTATGAAAGAAATCGTGAAACTTTGGGTGCTCTCGGTGCTACACACCTTCTAGGAATGGGACCGCGTGTTCCCCACTGCGCCTCGTTCGAGATGCTTCTATTTATTGTTGCCAACACATTTCGGTAGCGATCTTGTTGTCAGTTTCTATCC